GAGAATAACGTGTTTTATTTCCAGGGATGGGCAACAACTGGTCAGTGTGGAATGTAAAGATAGGCTGTTTGTGCTAGAAGCTTCTCTTGCAGGTCCAGGTACCACTGAGGCAGCTCAAGCGCAATGTGCCAACGTTCCAGTCCATGATGCATGCCATCATCTTTGGCACCAGAAAATGGGTCACGTGTCCTGGGATTACGTGAAGAAGATCCCAGAGTGCTCTGAGGGGTGCAAAATGAAGTCATGTGCTAAATTTCTTGATTACAGGGCTTGTAAGCAGGCAAAGGTGAAAACGTGCTCCTACCCAAGGTCTGAAAGAGTGACGACCAGACCTTTTGAGCTGGTGCATGTAGATTTGTGTGGCCCCATGCCAGTAGCCAGTCTAGGCGGGGCGAAATATGCTCTCACTCTGATAGATAATTTCTCTAGAAATGAGTGGCTATTCACATTCAAACACAAGAGTGAGGCTGTGCCACTGATCAGAGACTAGATTGTGGCAGTGGAACTGCAATATTCCACACACGTGTGTAACTTTCAGACTGACTACGGTGGGGAATTCACCATGTCTGTGCTGCAAAGTTTCTTCTGCCAGAAGGGAATACATCACAGGTTAACACTCCCCAACAGAATAGCGTTGCAGAACGCAAGAACAGAACGCTGCAGGAGATGTCCGCAGTGTTGCTGTTTGATACCGGGCTCCCCCAGCGCTTTTGGGGGAGAGGCCTGGAAAAATTCGAATTTCACATTGAACCGGTCATTCAAGTTCTGTTGTAGGGGACACAGCCTATTTCCTGCTGCACAGCAAGAAGCCCAAGGTGTATTTGGCTGCGAGGCTTGGGTCCTTGTGCCAAAGGCCAAGTGCAGAAAGGGTGGCCCTAGGTCCCAAAAGATGGTTTTCTGTGGGTATGAGCCAGGGACCAAGGGGTGGAGATTTGCCTATCCAACAGGCAATCAGTCCAGGATTCTGCTCAGCAACAGTGTTGAATTCTGTGAGCAGAATGGGTGGACACGCATACATGGGAACCCTGATGTTCTTCCAGAGAGTCTGCTTGACTCTGATGATGAGTAAGAGGTAGAGGTTGAACCTGCTGCTGAGGCACAGAGTCCCGACCCAGAGCAGGTAGAGGGAAGAACTTCTCCAAAAGCTTGAACAGAGAAGTGTTCCTTACTCAGCCACAGGTTCAACTGAGAAGTCTAGATGGCGCAGTAAGTCAGAGGGGGAGCTCTCTGACACCAAGGACATTCTAACTGGCCCTAGTGGGTCAGAGCAGGTACCTGAAACCGGGTTGAGACTTCAGCTTGCACAACGAAAGGTAAACCTCCTGACAGGTTTGCAGTCACAACTGTGTGGGTTGGTATGGCACAGTGTGAACCTGAGAGTTTTGAGGATGTTCAGAAACTGCTTCAGGAAGAAGCCAGGAAATGGCATGAGGCAATGCAGAAGGAGATGCTCAATGGAGTCTCTAGGTGTGTTCTCTCTCACGACGTTGCCAGTGGGCAAACAGGCCATGAGCAGCCGCTGGGTTTACCGTCTTAAACCCACAGCAACTGGAGAACCACAGTACAAGGCTAGGCTAGTAGCCAGAGGGTTCATGCAGCAGAAGGGGCTGCATTATACTGAGGTATATGCTCCTACTTCCAGAAGTGAAACTCTGTGCATGCTCTTAGCCATTGCTGCACAAAGAGGTTTGCAGGTGCATCACTTTGATGTGGCCTATTTGAACTCAGAGCTCCAGGAGGATCTGGACATGCTTCCTCCTCCAGGGTTTGAGGGCAATGGGCCAAATACTGTATGGAAGCCTCACAAGTCCATTTATGGCTTAAAGCAACTGGCCAGAAATTGGAACTTGTGCCTGAATGAAGCCTTAGAGAAGCTAGGTTTCAGGAAGAGTCTTGCTGACAGCTGCCTGTACCTTAAAGGGTCAGGAGAGTCACAGGAAATGGTGTTGATCTTTGTCGATGACATCATACATGTCTCAGGGGCAAACAAACAGGTGCAGAAGTTTGCCAAAGAGCTTGGAAAGCTGTTTCAGCTCAAGAACCTAGGTGCAGTAAAGATCTACCTAGGTGTACAGATAGACAGGACTGAAGATGGAAGCTTCTTGCTCAGTCAAAAAGGCAAGACTGAGCGGTTGCTTGAGAAGGTCAGAATGTCTGATTGTGCAGGGGTTGACACCCATGAATACAAGCTATGAGAAAGACAGTCACTTAGCAGAGCGCGTGGAGTTCGAGAATGCTGAGCTCTTGCAATCAGCTCTGGGTAGTCTGTTGTATCTGTCCCCATGGAGCAGGCCGGACACTGCTTTTGCTACCGATCTCGTCAGTAGGGAAGCTACAAAGCCCAGTGTAAACACCTGGCATGGTATCAAGCAGGTGCTGCATTACCTGCAGGATACCAAGGACTTCAATCTCAAGCTGTCAGCTGCAGGTGAGACTAGGCTCACTTCCTGGGCAGATACCGACTGGGCGAAGCTGGATAACAGGAAGTCCGTATCTTGGATGGTAATAAAGTTTGGGGAATCTCTAGTTGGGTGGAAGTCCCAGAAGCAAAGTCTCATTGCGCTGTCCTCTACTGAGGCTGAGTTCAGCACACTGTCGGAGTTGTGCCGGGAACTGGCGTTCTATAGATGCCTGGTGCAAGAGATCTATGGGGATTGTTGCCTGCCCATCAATGTTTAGGAGGACAATCCACCCTGTCTGAAGTTGGCAGAATCTGGGCAGTTTAAGGCCAGAACCAAGCATATAGACATACGATTCCAGAATGTGTGTCAAAGTGTACAGTCAGGTTCGGTGCGGATGAAGTACTGTACAAGCCACGACAACCTGGCAGATGGGTAAACGAAACCTTTGAGCTTCCAGCGTCATGGGGAGTTCTATGAAGGTTTGAAGTTGGGGTAAATGGTGATACTTACTGGTCCCTAGTAGCGCAGAATGAGAGGGGGTGTGAGGAGAACCTGAGCTTTCAGGGTTAAACAGCTCAGTGAATGCATCCTGCCTTCTGTGGTGCGGAGGGATCCTGCATCACATCCGGGATCTGTTTTTCTTTGTTCTATTCTGGTTTCGCTTTTGTAGGGAACAGACATGTCTCACATTCTGTTTGATACTGGATAATTTACTGCTGCTGTAATAATAAACGCTTTTAGCTTAGGAGAAGCTGCGTGGGCTCTTGATTTATGCACACTAACGACACAAACAGAAGACAGAAGGCTAAGGGCTTTGACTGCTGTCTTTTTACTCTGCTACGTTCAGAAGTCCGGAAAAGCAGACTGCGCAACGGAAGCTTGCGGGACCTTTTCCCCCTGAGCAATAAATCTCAGATAAAGTTTATCTGTAAATATTCAATAAACCATTTACATTCTTTTATTTAAAAAATTATTATCTTGATTTCTTAGTCTTCTGGTAAGTTTCACCATTTCTGCATATTCTTTCCATTTTGGGGCAAGTAAAATTCTATACAGTTTCTATACAGAAAGAGAGGTGGAGTAAGCGCTTGGGGATGCTGACATGAAGTCAGCTGCAATTTAAAGCAACAGTAGGGAATGTAAAAGAATGGGCTGCTGACGGAGAGAGGGGGGAAGGGGCATAAAGGGGAGGGGTGAACATGAGCATCGGGATGCCAAGCGAAGCGCGCTGCTGCCATGTTTTCCAGGGGACATTTAATGAAAACTGGAGACATTCTGGGGACACAAGTTTGGACTTGAAATCCTGCCTTTCACTCCCCTTAAGGAGTCTCAAAGCAGCTAATAATCTCCTTTCCCTTCCTCCTCCACAACAAACACTGTGAGGTGAGTGGGGCTAAGAGACTCCAGAGAAGTGTGACTAGCCCAAGGTCACCCAGCAGCTGCATGTGGAGGAGCGGGGAAGCCAACCCGGTGCGCCAGATTACAAGTCCATTGCTTTTATTAATGGCTGTTTTCACACACAAAATCAGTGTGATACCTTGGTTTACGAACTTAATCTGTTCAGGAAGTCCATTCTTAAACCATGGTGTTCTTAAACCAAGGCGTGCTTTCCCATAGAAAGTAATGGAAAATGGATTAATCCATTCCAGACAATGAAAAAAAACCCCACTAAAACAGCAATTTAACATGAATCTTACTATCTAACAAGACAATTGATCCATAAAAGGAAGGCAATAATCAATGTACAGTACAAGAAAATAAATAAGACAGTATTGTAGATGATAAAACTCAAAAAAAAAAAAATTTACGTGCACTGATGATAGTAATTGTTTGGACAGGAGGCTTTTATCCATTTCTGCAATCACACAATCAACCAGTAGCTGAACTGGGTTCCACACAGTCACAAAAATGAAGTAACAAGCCACAGTCAAAAGTCAGTACCATAAAACAAAGAACAATTCACAGTAAAAAAATAACAATGAAAAAGCCACAAAAACAGTCAAAAGCTTTTGTGTTGTGTGGGTGCTCCGGACTCAATGGCCAACAGACTCAACAGGAAGCCTCTGATTAGCAGTGGGGGACTCAATTTACAAACGGAACAAACTCAACAGGAAGCGGAACATGTTCTGTTTCCAAGGCAAGGTTCAGCAAGCCAAACACCTACTTATGGGTTCGGAGCGTTCTTATTCCAAGTTGTTCATAAACTAAGCTGTTCTTAAAGCAAGGAACCACTGGAGTTGGCACTGTGAATACGATTAACCCACATATTGTGAAAAATATCCATTGTCCTGATTCAGTCCACACGTGACACCACTGAACCTCTTGGTTCATTGTCATGCTAATCTGCCTTTGAGGTTCATTTGTTCCAGAGAAGTAAGCAAAATAAAGTGAATGTGTTTCCACACTGCCCCATCCAAGAACCCCTCAAATTATGCCCAGGGTCAACTCTAGCATTCTAGAATTCTGTGTAAAAGAATGAACATCGAGTGAATGTTCACTAAGTTTCTCATGTTGATTGAAGCTCTTTCCACACTCCAAGCATTTAGTGTTTCACCCCTGTGTGCGTATGTTTATGTAAAGTAAGGTGTATCCTCTGACGGAAACTCTTTCCACACTCCATACATTTAAATGGTTTCTCCCCTGTGTGGGTTCGATGATGAATATTAAGGAAGGAACTTTCGCTGAACCTCTTTCCACACTCCATACATTTAAAGGGTTTCTCCCCTGTGTGAGTTCGTTGATGTGAATTAAGTTGATTCTTCCAACTGAAGCTCTTTCCACACTCCATACATTTAAAGGGTTTCTCCCCTGTGTGAGTACGTTTATGTAAAGCAAGCTGTGCACTCTGATGGAAACTCTTTCCACACTCCATACATTTAAATGGTTTAACCCCTGTGTGAGTTCTCTGATGTCCACTAAGTTTATCACGTCTACTGTAGCTCTTTCCACACTCTAAGCATTTAAACTGTTTCACCCCTGTGTGAGTTTGCTGGTGTGTACGAAGGTGGGAACTCTGACCAAAGCTCTTTCCACACTCCATACATTTAAATGGTTTAACCCCTGTGTGAGTTCTCTGATGTTCACTAAGTTTATCACGTCTACTGTAGCTCTTTCCACACTCCAAGCATTTAAAGTCTTTCACCCCTGTGTGAGTATGTTTATGTAAAGTAAGGTGTGCACTCTGACTGAAGCTCTTTCCACACTCTAAGCATTTAAACTGTTTCACCCCTGTGTGAGTTTGCTGGTGTGTACGAAGGTGGGAACTCTGACCAAAGCTCTTTCCACACTCCATACATTTAAATGGTTTAACCCCTGTGTGAGTTCGTTGATGTACTGCATGTGTTTGACTATCAGTGGAGGTCTTTCCACATTCCAAACATTTAAATAGTTTCTCCCCCGTGTGAGTTCGCCGATGTGAAGTGAGGTGTGCCTTTCGTCGGAACCACTTTCCACACTCTAGACATTCAAATGGTTTCTCTCCTGTGTGAGTCAGTTGATGTACTCGAAGTTTACCAATATGACGGAAGCTCTTTCCACACTCCATACATGTGAATGGCTTTTCCCCTGTATGAATTAGTTGATGTTTTCTAAGTGTTCCCCTGTCACGGAAGCACTTTTTACACTCCATACATATAAATGGTTTCTCCCCTGTGTGGGTGTAATGATGTAAAGCAAGGCTTGAACCAGAACTGAAACTCTTTCCACACTCCATACATTTAAATGGTTTCTCCCCTGTGTGACTTCTATGATGCATATGAAGGGACCAACTTTCACTGAAGCTCTTTCCACACTCCATACATTTAAATGGTTTCTCTCCTGTGTGAGTCCGTTGATGTCTTGTAAGCTTTCCACCCGTACTGAAACACTTACCACACTCCATACATTTAAATGGTTTCTCTCCTGTGTGAGTCCGTTGATGTCTTGTAAGATCTCCACTCATACTGAAGCACTTACCACACTCCAAACATTCATATTGGTTTTCCCCTGTATGAATTCGCTGATGTTTAAGAATGTTATTACTGCTACAACTCTTTCCACATTCCAAACATTTAAATGGTTTTCCCCCCGTGTGAGTTCGTTGATGGTCTGTAAGGTTTCCACCATCAATAAAGCTCATTCCACATTCTGCAGAGTTCTGTCGATTGTCTGCACCACCTGCAAAGGGAGAAATGCTTTTAGGGTTTCAAGGAATATCTTTGTATGAAGGGAGATATATAAATTACATACATAATTATAATTGTCTAGAAAAAAATAAAAGTGGTAGAAGTGTTTCAAATAAATAAATAAATAATCTATAATTACTGAAAGCATTTCTACAACACTCTTTAGCCATATTTCTTTATCAGTCTAGGTAATAATCATCATTTAATCAGGTAGTGCAGGGGAAACATGTAAAACCAAAAGGCTATGAGAGGGGAAAGGTTTCTGGCTCCTCTATGAAAGCAGATTCCAGAAACAAAGAGGAGCATGGGAAAAGGCCTCTCTGCCTCCTTCTTCCTGCCTTTTCTCTCCTCTCCATCTTTTCCCCTTGCCAATGTGTTTCCCTCCTCCTGTCTCTTTCCACCCCTGCGCCCATCTCTTATCCCCTGCAACTCACCAGATCTCTCGGAGGGCCCTGGGAGGGAATGCTCAACAGCTTTGGGGAGGGATGCAGGAGGCAGCCTGACCAAGTCAACCGTCCATCTTCCTCCTTTCATCCTCGCTAGGTTTGCCGAATCAGACTCTTTCATCCTTCCTGAGGAGCTCCCAAGCGAAAACAAGCCACAGGTTCCTGAGGGAAGAAGAAACAAAGGGAGCCTCACATTTAGCTGTTGAAGGGTAAGTCTTTCACTGTTTCCATGGTGAAAGAGGGTGCCTTCCTCCTGAAACCCACCATTGCAAGAAAAATAGGTCCTGCCCCAATGTGGAATAAATGAATAAAAATGAATCCTTAGCTGAATCAAAGGATTCTCCCTAACTCCTTTCCGTGTTAGAGGGTGCAATTAAGACTAAGAAAGACTAAGAACGTGTTCAAGGCCCATGCTGACCCTGAGAGTGATAGATTTATAGTGTAGAGGTGACTCGAGATAAGAAGGAAAAATAGCAGCTGATAGTTTAAGAACTAGTGGGACGCAGGTGGTGCTGTGGGTAAAAGCCTCAGCGCCTAGGGCTTGCCGATTGAAAGGTTGGCGGTTCGAATCCCCGTGGCGGGGTGCGCTCCCGTCGTTCAGTCCCAGCGCCTGCCAACCTAGCAGTTCGAAAGCACCTTCGGGTAGTAGATAAATAGGGACCGCTTACCAGCGGGAAGGTAAACGGCGTTCCGTGTGCTGCACTGGCTCGCCAGATGCAGTTTGTCACGCTGGCCACATGACCCGGAAGTGTCTCCGGACAGCGCTGGCCCCCGGCCTCTTGAGTGAGATGGGCGCACAACCCCAGAGTCTGGCAAGACTGGCCCGTATGGGCAGGGGTACCTTTACCTTTAGTTTAAGAACTAGTATGCGTGCTCAAACGCTTCATGGATACGCACCCCTAAAGGAGAAATAGCTAATTTGAATGGACATGGGATCCATGTTATTGGTGGGGGACATATGTGTAGGTGGATTGGGAAGCCTGTAAACTGCAATTTATTAACCAATAGGAATTGTAGGAGGGATTTTTGAACACTTTTAGGTTATAAATTATGTGTGATGTAAGTTGGAATGAGCACTCCTTTACAGCGTGAGCTGAGGGGCCGCCTGTGCATTACTGTAATAAATCTAGTGATGCCCGATCGTGGTTTAGACTCCTTTTTTACACAGAGTAAATTGACGCCCTCTGGGTAAAGATTCCTTGGGACATAATTTGTCCAACAATTTTGGTGGAGCATGCAGGCAGGTAAATCCAGATTGCCAACCTCACCTAGCGAAGCCCAGACGACACCTTTAGCGCATGACCGGTCCGACAGAGTTCCGTTGCCGCTGGGACCTCGGAAGCCCACCGACTTAAGGGGACACCTGTGAGACTCTATACCAGGGGTCAGTAAACTTTTTCAGCAGGGGGGTAGTCCATTGTCCCTCAGACCTTGTGGGGGGGGCGGATTATATTTGGAAAAAAATATATGAACAAATTCCTATGCCCCACAAAGAAATTGACGCCCTCTGGGCAAAGATCCCTGGGACATATTTGTCCAACACCTTGCCAATGTGTTTCCCCCCTCCTGTCTCCATCCATCCCTGCCCTTTTCCCCTGCAACTCACCAGATCTCTCTGAGGGCCCTGGGAGGGAATGCTCAACAGGTTTGGGGAGGGATGCAGGAGGCAGCCTGACCAAGTCAACCGTCCATCTTCCCCCTTCCATCCTCGCCAGGTTTGCAGGATCAGACTCTTTCAAACTTCCTAGGGAGCCCAGAAGCCAAAACAAGCTGCAGGTTCCTGAGAGGGAAGAAGAAACAAAAGGAGCTTCACAGACTCTGCAAGCCTTTTCCTGCACCAGACATTTAGCTGTTGAAGGGTGAGTCTTTCACTATTTCTCTGGTGAAAGAGGGATGCTTTCCTCCTGAAACCCACCACGCAAGAAAACCCAGCTGCCTAGATGGCTGGGATAGAAATAATAACACTACACTACAGTGGTGTACACTACTACACTACACTACAGTGGACGCGGGTGGCGCTGTGGGTAAAAGCCTCAGCGCCTAGGGCTTGCCGATCAAAAGGTCGGCGGTTCGAATCCCCGCGGCGGGGTGCGCTCCCGTTGCTCGGTCCCAGCGCCTGCCAACCTAGCAGTTCGAAAGCACCCCTGGGTGCAAGTAGATAAATAGGGACCGCTTACTAGCGGGAAGGTAAATGGCGTTTCCGTGTGCTGCACTGGCTCGCCAGATGCAGCTTTGTCACGCTGGCCACGTGACCTGGAAGTGTCTCCGGACAGCGCTGGTCCCCGGCCTCTAGAGTGAGATGGGCACACAACCCTAGTCTGTCAAGACTGGCCCGTACGGGCAGGGGTACCTTTATCTTACAGTGGTACCTCGGGTTACATACGCTTCAGGTTACATACGCTTCAGGTTACAGACTCCGCTAACCCAGAAATATTACCTCGGGTTAATAATAATAATAATAATAATAATAATAATAATAATAATTTATTATTTATACCCCGCCCATCTGGCTGGGCCTCCTTATGAGGCTCCAGGCCCCGCCCCAGGCCAGATGGTAAGTGGCAAGAGCAGGGCCCTCAAGCACTCACTCAGGGGAGTCCTCCTGAAGAACTTTGCTTCAGGGTGAGAACAGAAATCGTGCTCCGGCGGCGCGGCAGTAGCAGGAGGCCCCATTAGCTAAAGTGGAGCTTCAGGTTAAGAACAGTTTCAGGTTAAGAACGGACCTCTGGAACGAATTAAGTTCTTAACCTGAGGTACCACTGTACTGTTATTGTTAGTGTTGTGATGATGACGATGACCTGAAAGAGGATCCTCTTGAGAAAACTAAGAGGACAAGAGAATGGGGGGAAATTATAATTTACCTAGGAGACCATTGTAAATAGATGAAAACATTAGCAGGATTTTAACCACACTGGTAAGGTATTAAAGATCATGGACCATTCAGATGGATGGGAAAATATGGACAACTGACAGATATGGAGTTGTAGATGTTAATATTAGGACCCACAGAGGGGATGGGGGGGGGAGTCATGAGATACAGAGTAATCTCTGTTTATGGATTTGTAATTTATTTTGTTATAAATGCATTTGTTACTTTAAAAAAACCCAGTTTTTTTATAAAATAACCTTTCCCAAGAAGGGGAGATTAGAAACGAGCCAGGAATCCTGCTGTAGACATAACACCTAAAATTCAAAAGCCTGGGACGTTTTCCACCTTACCATTCATCTACTGACCATCTGTGTCCCTATCTCCACTCCCCTGGAACTCACCAGATCTCTCTGAGGGCCCTGGGAGGGAATGCTCAATGGTTTTGGGAGGGATGCAGGAGGCAGACTGACCAGGTCAACCGTCCATCTTCCCCCTTCCATCCTCGCCAGGTTTGCAGGATCAGACTCTTTCAAACTTCCTAGGGAGCTCAGAAGCCAAAACAAGCTGCAGGGTCCTGGGAGTGAGGGAGAAGCAAAGGGGGCCTCAGAGACCCTGCAAGCATTTTCCTGCCCCAGAGGTTGAGCTGTTGAAGGGTAAGTCTCCCAGTGTGTGGAGATACCAAACACAGTGTGCATGGTGAAGGAGGGGTGCCTTCCTCTTCAAACCCACCATGCAAGAAAACCCAGCCGCCTAGAATGGCTGGGGATACCCAGCCAGATAGGTGAGATATATATAACATCATCATCATCATCATCATTGACTAGAGTCATGCCTTTTGCGTCTACTTTTATCTCTGTTGGATGGGAGCTTTGACATTGCAGCCTCCCTGGCCACAAGCTCCCAGTTATTTCAATAACCCCCCCCAATAATAGCAATTAATATTATTATTATCCCCCCCCCATCTGGCAGGGCTTCCCCAGCCACTCTGCTGGCTGCCAGGTCCTCCCCCAACCCTCTTCTTCCAGCCTGGCTTCCCTTCCACTGTTGCCCACCCCCCCCCCCAGACCACGTACCCTAGAAGAGACTATGGCCAGGACACAAAGAAAGACGAAAAATAATGCAAGCATTTTTATAAAATTCCACAGAGGGGCATTAGGCTGCAATAGATTGTAATGGGTCGCTCTGAAGTAAATTCTGCGCCAAATATTATTAATAATAAAGAATCCCGCGAGCCCCCCCTCACCGCCCTTCGCGTATTTTGCAGCGACCCTCAGCAATTCTGCCCCACGTCGACCCAAGGGCGGGCTCGGTGTAAGGCAGAGCCCCACGTTTGGATCCCCCAGAAGATCCGGCTTCCCCATTGGGAGCAGGAAGGGGGCAGGAATCCAGCTTCCAGGGAAGAAAGGCTGGGGGGGGGGATAGGACGCCCCTCGCCTCGTGCAGGGATGTGACTTCAAGGAGATTCCTGAGCAGGAGCAAGAAGGCTGGGCGTCCCTCCCAGAGATCCTTCCCTTCCCCCCTCAGCCCCCCAACACCCTCGTATTCGGGTCCCCCACCCACGAAATCTCCCCCCTGGCACGACTCACCCCTCGCCCTGCGCGCCGCATCTCTTCCTCTGCATCCGGAGGGACCACCCAAGACGAGCGGGGAGGGGAGGTGGGGGGGCAGAGGGAGGGTCTGTTCCCAGGCCTCTCTAGGCAGCCGGGCCCCCTCTATTCCCTCCACCCTCCCCTTGGCTCCCTCTCCTCCCCCCCAAATAGCACTACCCGCGCGTCTCCCCAGTTGCGTTTTTCGGGTCAAGGCAGGAGGAGCGATCCGGATCCCGCAGAGAAGGGCGCTGGATTTGAGTCTTGGGTGCAAAACCAGCCTGGCTGGAGGATAGGGCCCCTCGCGGGCATCGCTTTCACGGCAATATATATCGCCGTGAAAGTGATGCCCACATATATTTATGGGGGCCGGGTCCTCTCCCTCAAGTTGATGGGCACTGCCATTCAAATGGATTGTGTGCACTGCGTCGTGTGATCAATTATGCAGGACGCAGATTACCTGGACCCCCGCAATATTTTATTCATTGGCACCCCCAATATGTTGCATTATTTTTACAATGGCAATCTGCCTTTCCTTCAACAAGCTGCGGGCGACGTACACACTTCTTCTCCATCTTATACCCACAACCACCCTGTGACAGGGGCGTTGCATGGGGGTGATGCCAGCAGGGCAGTGGCCCCGGGGCGGATTTTTGAGGGGGCACAAGGCAGTCACTGCCTGCAGGCGCCCCCAGTGCAGCCCAACACTCCTCTCCCATTGGAGGAACCAACCATGGAGGTTGTTTTCTTTAAAAAGATTTATTTTATTTTATTTTATTTTCATATTTATACATTTCATCAAATTTACAAAAAAAATTCCTTCCAGTAGCACCTTCAAGACCAACTAAGTTAGTTCTTGGTATGAGCTTTCGTGTGCATGCACACTTCTTCAGATACACTGAAACAGAAGTTGCCAGATCCTTCTATATAGTGAGAAGGTGGGGAGGGGTATTACTCAGAAGGGTGGTGGGAATGGGAGATTGGCAGATAGCTGTGATGAGCCTGTTGACGACTCTTAACGACTGCAATAGGTCTCACCCCTTACTATTTCCTTTGTCAAAAGTTTGTCATCTTGTTATCTTTGTCAACTTTTTCTTTTGTCAAAAGTTTGTTATCTTGATTTCTTATTCTTCTGGGTAAGTTTCACCATTTCTGCATATTCCCTAAGTTTTTGTATCCATTCTTCCTTTGCTGGGACTTCTTTCCATTTTGGGGCAAGTAAAATTCTATACAGTTTCTGCTCCTTCTTTGGCAATCACTCGTAGGGGAGTAAGTTTGTCTTCCATAGACACAGTTTCAACAATGAGTCCGTAGGGGACAGAGAGGGAGGCAAAGAACAAAAGACATGGGGGAAAGCCCCCTTAGCGCCCCATAAATTTGAGTGAGGGAAAGACTCAAAACAGTAGGGCAAAGAGAGGTGGAGTAAGGGCTTGGGGATGCTGACAGTTGGTCAGCTGCAATTTAAAGCAACAGTAGGAAATTAAGAGAATGGGCTGCTGGGGGGGGCACAGAGAGAGAGTGAAGCCCTGTGGTGACAATCTGGGTGCTGATGCCGCGCCGGAGAGCGAAGCAGCAGCAGCAGCACCCAGGTCCTGGGATCAGAGCCACCGGAGCTGGGAGCGATCTAGGAGCACTTCTTCTACATCATGGACTGGGCATGGTGAAGCAGGCCGGAGCCGGAGGAGGCCACCCCCTCCCCCCAAAAAAGAACACCTTTGGCAAAAGAATCTGAGCAGGGCTGGTGTGCCCCAAAGAGGAAAGGGGCATAAAGGGGAGGGAAGAGCATGAGCATCGGGATGCCAACGTTTCCCCGGGGACATTTAATGAAATCCGGGGACATTTTGGGGACAGATCTGCAAATTCAGGGACTGTCACCGGGAAACGGGGATGTCTGGTAACCCTGACTTGGGTGCCGATCTCCCATATCCTCGTCTGACACTCTCACCACTACACCACCCTGCCTTCCTGAAGTCCTTCCGCATTGGGGTAGCTATAAAAATTTAAGTAGGTAAATAAATACGGAGAAAGCAAAATGTCACAGAGATGGATCTGAATCTTCCCCCTCAAAGTATAAATGTGTTTTATTTTGGATTACTTTATTTCATGTTTTAATGTGTTGCAAGCAGATTTGAGTTTTTTTACTTTAAGATATAAAGTGGTATAGAAAAGATTTTTTTCTTTTTCAAAAAATGCTTTATTGGACTTAAACAAAGTAAAAAAACATACATTCATGTCCATTGTTTACAAAGAAAATAAAATTAAGAGAAAACTATATTTTCTGACAAAGAAAATATTCTTAATATACATCTGACTTCCCGTCGTCTCCATACTTCATTTAACCAGTGTGGTGTAGTGGTTAAGAGCGGTAGTCTCGTAATCTGGGGAACCGGGTTCGCATCTCCACTCCTCCACATGCAGCTGCTGGGTGACCTTGCGCTAGTCATACTTCTCCGAAGTCTCTCAGCCCCACTCACCTCACAGAGTGTTTGATGTGGGGGAGGAAGGGAAAGGAGAATGTTAGCTGCTTTGAGACTCCTTCGGGTAGTGATAAAGCGGGATATCAAATCCAAACTCTTCTTCTTCACCATTACTGACTTATTGCAAAAACATATCCACTTGTTGTATAATAAAATATTATTTCTCCTGTGTCCTTTTTCTTACGTAAAACAGCTACAGATGTTATTCAAAGGCTGTGACCGAGTTCAAGCTGCAACAACTGTTCTTAAGATATCTTTTAAAAACTTCCCATTTTGAAATAAATACTTGTTTTGAATCATCTTTTATTTTTTCGGTTGGTTTGGCTAGCTCTGCATATTAGACCAATTCTTGTAACCATTCTAACCTGGAAGGAACTTTATCACTCTTCCAATTTGTCGCTATTAGGATTCTAGCGGCAACAGTGGTGTATAAAAAGACCTCTCTTACATTTCTAGGAATATCGGCGCCTGTGATAAAAAGGCTTCTGGTTTTTTTGTGAAACAAGCATTTAACATTTTTAAAAGTTCTATATAGATGTCATCCAAGAAAACCTTGATTTTTTTTTTACATAGCCACCACATATGGAACATTGTGCCTGTTCCTTCTCCACATCTCCAAAAATTACTAAAAACATTTTTATACCTTTTTGAAAGTTTCCTTGGGGTCAAATACCAATAGTATTGCATGTTTTTGGAAATGTTACCTCAAGGTTTAGCATTCTGTGAATTTCAGATTTACTTTCCATAAATTTTCCCACTTTCATATCTGTGTTATATCCAAACTCCTGGGCCCATTGAATCATGACAGCTTTAATCTCCTCCTCCTTCCCAGTCAAGAAGAAGAAGAATTTGGACTTGATATCCCGCCTTTCACTCCCCTTAAGGAGTCTCAAAGCGGCTAACAATCTCCTTTCCCTTCCTCCCCCACAACAAACACTCTGTGAGGTGAGTGAGGCTGAGAGACTTCAGAGAAGTGTGACTAGCCCAAGGTCACCCAGCAGCTGCACGTGGAGGAGCGGAGACGCGAAGCCGGTTCACCAGATTACAAGTCCACCGCTTTTATTAATAGTTGTTTTCACACACAAAATCAGTGTGATACCTTGGTTTACGAACTTAATCTGTTCAGGAAGTCTGTCCTTAGACCAAGGCATGCTTTCCCATAGAAAGTAATGGAAAATGGATTAATCCATTCCAGACAATGAAAAACAACCACTAAAACAGCAATTTAACATGATTTTTACTATCTAACAAGACCACTGATGCATAAAAGGAAGGCAATAATCAATGTACTGTACAATAAAATAAAATATATAAGGCAGTATTGTAGATGATAAAACTCAAAATTATTTTTTTTCCTTATGTGTACTGATGATAGTAATTGTTTGTATGGGGGGGGGCTTTTATCCATTTCTGCTGTCACACAATCAACCAGTAGCTGAACTGGGTTCCACACAGTCAGAAAAACGAAGTCACAAAAACGAAGTCACAAGCCACAGTCAAAAGTCAGTACCATAAAACAATGAACAAGACACGGTAAAAATAAAAGAAAAAGCCACACAAACAAAAAAATAGCAAAGACAAAAGCTCCAAGTATCACCTCTGTGTTGGGTGGGTGCTCCGGACTCAACAGCCGACAGACTCAACAGGAAGCCTCTGATTAGCAGTGGGGGACTCAATTTACAAACAGAACACACTCAACAGGAAGCAGAACATGTTCTGTTTCCAAGGCAAAGTTCACAAACCCAAACACCTACTTACAGGTTTGTAGCATTCTTATTCCAAGTTGTTCATAAACTAAGTTGCCCATAAACTAAGCTGCTCTTAAACCAAGGTACCACTGTAGTTGGCACTGGGAATCTGATTAACCCACATATTGTGAAAAACATCCATGGTCCTGATTCAGTCCACAATTGACAGCATTGAACCTCTTGGTGGATTGTGATGCCAGTCTGCCTTTGAGGTTCATTTGTTCCAGAGAAGTAAACAAAATAAAGTGAATGTGTTTCCACACTGCCCCATCCAAAAAGGCTGAACCCTAGCATTCTAGAATTCTATGTAAAAGAATGAACATCGAGTGAATGTTCACTAAGTTTCCCACGTTGACTGAAGCTCTTTCCACACTCCAAGCATTTAAAGTTTCACCCCTGTGTGAGTATGTTTATGTAAAGTAAGGTGTGTCCTCCGACGGAAACTCTTTCCACACTCCATACATTTAAACGGTTTCTCCCCTGTGTGGGTTCGATGATGAATATTAAGGGAGGAACTTTCGCTGAACCTCTTTCCACACTCCATACATTTAAAGGGTTTCTCCCCTGTGTGAGTTCGTTGATGAGAATTAAGCTGATTCTTCCAAATGAAGCTCTTTCCACACTCCATACATTTAAAGGGTTTCTCCCCTGTGTGAGTACGTTTATGTAAAGTAAGCTGTGCACTCTGATGGAAACTCTTTCCACACTCCATACTTTTCTCCCCTGTGTGAGTTCTCTGATGTTTACGAAGTTTATCACGTCGACTGTAGCTCTTCCCACACTGCAAGCATTTAAACTGTTTCACCCCTGTGTGAGTTTGCTGGTGATTTCTAAGGGCTCCGCTTTGACTGAAGCTCTTTCCACACTGCATACATTTAAATGGTTTCTCCCCTGTGTGAGTTCTCTGGTGTTCACTAAGTTTATCACGTCGACTGAAGCTCTTGCCACACTCCAAGCATTTAAAGTCTTTCACCCCTGTGTGAGTACGTTTATGTGTGTTAAGGTGTGCACTCTGACGGAAACTCTTTCCACACTCCATACATTTAAATGGTTTAACCCCTGTGTGAGTTTGCTGATGTGAAGTAAGGTGGGTACTCTGACCAAAGCTCTTTCCACACTCCATACATTTAAATGGTTTAACCCCTGTGTGAGTTAGCTGGTGTGAAGTAAGTGAGCTGCTATGACGGAACCTCTTTCCACACTCCATACATGTAAGTGGTTTCTCTCCTGTGTGTGTTCGCTGATGTTCTGCATGTGTTCGACTATCAGTGGAAGTCTTTCCACATTCCAAACATTTAAATAGTTTCTCCCCCGTGTGAGTTCGCCGATGTGAAGTGAGGTGTGTCTTTCGTCCGAACCACTTTCCACACTCTAGACATTCAAATGGTTTCTCCCCTGTGTGAGTCCGTTGATGTACACGAAGTGAACTAATATGACGGAAGCTCTTTCCACACTCCATACATGTGAATGGCTTTTCCCCTGTGTGAATTAGTTGATGTTTTCTAAGTGTTCCCCTGTCACGGAAGCTCTTTTTACACTCCATACATTTAAATTGTTTCTCCCCTGTGTGTGTGTAATGATGTAAAGTAAGGTGGGAACTCTGACCAAAGCTCTTTCCACACTCCATACATTTAAATGGTTTCTCCCCTGTGTGACTTCGATGATGCGTATGAAGGGTCCAACTTTCACTGAAGCTCTTTCCACACTCCATACATTTAAATGGTTTCTCTCCTGTGTGAGTCCGTTGATGTCTTGTAAGTTTTCCACTCGCACTGAAACACTTACCACACTCCACACATTCATATTGTTTTTCCCCTGTATGAATTCGCTGATGTTGTTTAAGAGTGGCATTACTACTATAACGCTTTCCACACTCATTACACTGAAATGGTTTTTCCCCCGTGTGAGTTTGTTGATGGTTTGTAAGGTTTCCACCATCAATAAAGCTCATTCCACATTCTGCAGAGTTCTGTTGATTGTCTGCACCACCTGCTTTGAAGCAAAGGGAGAAATGCTTTTAGTGTTTCAAAGAACATATTTGTATGAAGGGAGATATATAAATTACATACATAATTATAATTGTCTAGAAAAAAATAAAAGTGTTTCAAATAAATAAATAAATAATCTATAATTACTGAAAGCATTTCCACAACACCCTTTACCCATATTTCTGTATTAGTCTAGGTAATCATCATCATTTAATCATGCAGTGTGGGGGAAACATGTAAAATCGAAACGCTGTGAGAGGAAAAAGGTTTCTGGCTCCTCTATGAAAGCAGATTCCAGAAACAAAGAGGAGCATGGGAAAAGGCCTCTCTGCCTCCTTCTTCTTGCCTTTTCTCTCCCCTCCATCTTTTCCCCTTGCCAATGTGTTTCCCTCCTCCTGTCTCTTTTCACCCATGCGCCCATATCTTATCCCCTGCAACTCACCAGATCTCTCTGAGGGTCCTGGGAGGGAATGCTCAACAGTTTTGGGGAGGGATGCAGGAGGCAGCCTGACCAAGTCAACCGTCCATCTTCCTCCTTCCATTCTAGCTAGGTTTGCAGAATCAGACTCTTTCATTCTTCCTGAGGAGCTCAGAAGCGAAAACGAGCTGCAGATTCCTGAGGGAAGAAGAAACAAAGGGAGCCTCACATTTAGCTGTTGAAGGGTAAGTCTTTCACTGTTTCCATGGTGAAAGAGGGTGCCTTTCTCCTGAAACCCACCTTGCAAGAAAAATAGGTCCTGCCCCAATGTGGAATAAATGAATAAAAATGAATCCTTAGCTGAATCAAAGGATTCTCCCTAAACTCCTTTCCTTGTTGAGGGTGCAATTAAGACTAAGAAACAGGGTGTTATCTGTGAAAGAATGTGTTAAGGCCCATGCTGAACCTGAGAGTGATAGATTTATACTTTAGAGGTGACTCGAGATCACAAGGAGAAATAGCAGGTGATAGTTTAAGAACTAGTACACATGCTCAAACGCTTCATGAATACACACCCCAAAAGGAGAAATTGCTATCTGAATGGACATGGGATGCATATTATTGATGGGGGTACACATTAGAGGGATAATGTGTAGGTGGATTGGGTAGCCTGTAAACTGCAATTTCTTAACCAACAGGAATTGTAGGAGGGATATTCGAACGCTTTTAGGTTATAAATTATGTGTGATGTAAGCTGGAATGAGCACTCCTTTACAGCATGAGCTGAGGAGTCGCCCGTGCAGTCCTGTTACGACAATAAATCTAGTGATGCCCGATCTTGGTGTAGACTCCTTTTTTACACAGAGTAAATTGGCGCCCTCTGGGCAAAGATCCCTGGGACATATTTGTCCAACACCTTGCCAGTGTGTTTTCCCCCTCCTGTCTCCATCCATCCCTGCCCTTTTCCCCTGCAACTCACCAGATCTCTCTGAGGGTCCTGGGAGGGAATGCTCAACAGGTTTGGGGAGGGATGCAGGAGGCAGCCTGACCAAGTCAACCGTCCATCTTCCCCCTTCCATCCTCGCTAGCTTTGCAGGATCAGACTCTTTCAAACTTCCTAGGGAGCTCAGAAGCCAAAACAAGCTGCAGGTTCCTGAGAGGGAAGAAGAAACAAAAGGAGCTTCACAGACCCTGCAAGCCTTTTCCTGCCCCAGATATTTAGCTGTTGAAGTGTAAGTCTTTCACTATTTCTGTGGTGAAAGGAAAACCCAGACGCCTAGAATGGCTGGGGGAACCCAGCCAGATGGGTGGGATAAGGTAAAGGTAAAGGTACCCCTGCCCGTACGGGCCAGTCTTGACAGACTCTAGGGTTGTGCGCCCATCTCACTCAAGAGGCCGGGGGCCAGCGCTGTCCGGAGACACTTCCGGGTCACGTGGCCAGCGTGACATCGCTGCTCTGGCGAGCCAGAGCCGCACACGGAACGCCGTTTACCTTCCCGCCAGTAAGCGGTCCCTATTTATCTACTTGCACCCGGGAGTGCTTTCGAACTGCTAGGTTGGCAGGCGCTGGGACCGAACAACGGGAGTGCACCCCGCCGCGGGGATTCGAACCGCCGACCTGACGATCAGCAAGCCCTAGGCGCTGAGGCTTTTACCCACAGTGCCACCCGCGTCCAGATGGGTGGGATATATATATATATAATAACATCATCATGACTAGAGTCATGCCTTTTGCGTCTCTTTTTATTTCTGTTAGATGGGAGCTTTGACATTTCAGTCTCCCTGGCCACAAGCTCACAGTTATTTCAATAACCCCAACCCCCCAATAATAGCAATTATAATTATTATTATTATTTCCCCCCCCATCTGGCAGGGCTTCCCCAGCCACTCTGCTGGCTGCCAGGTCCTCCCCCAACCCTCTTCCTCCAGCCTGGCTTCCCTTCCACTGTTGCCCACCCCCCCCCAGACCACGTACCCTAGAAGGGACTATGGCCAGGACACTAAAAAAGACGAAAAATAATGCAGGCATTTTTATAAAATTCCACAGAGGTGCATCTTGTTAGACTGCAATAGATTGTAATGGGTTGCTCTGAAGTCAATTCAGCGCCAGATAATAATAATAATAATAATAATAATAATAATAATAATAATAATAATAATAATAAAATAATAATAAAGAATCCCGCGAGCCCCCCCCTCACCGCCCTGCGCATCTTTGGCCAGAACAAAGGCAGCGACCCTATGCAATTCTGCCCCATGTCGACCGAAGGGCGGACTCGGTGTAAGGCAGCGCCCCACGTTTGGATCCCCCAGAAGATCCGGCTTCCCCATTGGGAGGAGGAAGGGGGCAGGAATCCAGCTTCCAGGGAAGAAAGGCTGCGGGGGGGGGAATAGGACGCCCCTCGCCTCGTGCAGGGATGTGACTTCAAGGAGATTCCTGAGCAGGAGCCAGAAGGCTGGGCGTTCCCTCCCAGAGATCCTTCCCTCCCCCCCCCTCAGCCCCCCAACACCCTCGTACTCGGGTCCCCCACCCACGAAATCTCCCCCCTGGCACGACTCACCCCTCGCCCTGCGCGCCGCATCTCTTCCTCTGCATCCGGAGGGACCACCCAAGACGAGCGGGGAGGGGAGGGGAGGGGGGGGGCAGAGGGAGGGTCTGTTCCCAGGCCTCTCTAGGCAGCCGGGCGCTCTCTATTCCCTCCCCCTCCCTCTCCTCCCCAAACAGCACCACCTGCGCGCCTCGCCAGTTGCATTTTCGTGTCAAGGCAGGGGGAGGGATCCGGATCCCGCAGAGAAGGGCGCTGGATTTGAGACTTGGGTGCAAAACCAGCCTGGCTGGAGGATAGGGCCCTCGTGGGCATCGCTTTCATGGCAGTCTATATATATATATTGGCTTGAAAGTGATGCCCACATATATATATATACACACACAGTATATATTGTTGTTGTTCTTTCGTTGTTTAGTCGTGTCCGACTCTTCTTGACCCCCATGGACCAGAGCACGCCAGGCACTCCTGTCTTCCACTGCCTCCCGCAGTTTGGTCAAACTCATGCTGGTAACCTCGAAAACAGTATCCAACCATCTCATCCTCTGTCGCCCCCTTCTCCTTGTGCCCTCCATCTTTCAAGAGTCTCCTCCAGCACCATAATTCAAAAGCATCAATTCTTCGGCGATCAGCCTTCTTTATGGTCCAGCTCTCACTTCCATACATCACTGCTGGGAAAACCATGGCTTTAACTATACGAACCTTTGTTGGCAAGGTGATGTCTCTACTTCTCAAGATGCTGTCTAGGCCTGTCATTGCCCTTCTCCCAAGAAGCAGGTGTCTTTTAATTTCGTGGCTGCTGTCACCATCTGCAGTGATCATGGAGCCCAAGAAAGTAAAATTTCTCACTGCCTCCATTTCTTCCCCTTCTATTTGCCAGGAGGTGATGGGCCCAGTGGCCATGATCTTCGTTTTTTTGATGTTGAGCTTCAGACCATATTTTGCGCTCTCTCTTTCACCCTCATTAAAAGGTTCTTTAATTCCTCCTCACTTTCTGCCATCAAGGTTGTGTCATCTGCATATCTGAGGTTGTTGATATTTCTTCCGGCGATCTAAATTCTGGCTAGGAATTATGTTGGGCGTGTGCATGGCACCAAATGCTCTTGCGGAAAGATGGACCTACCCTCAGGATGCCAGCGCTTTGCAAAGGCGTCTCTGGAGGAACTTGGCCAGATCTGTAACCTAAGAGCGTCCCCCCTCCCCTTCCGCCCTAGCATCTTCCCTTTCCCCCTCGTTTACCTGCCTGGCTTGGCGTGTCCTTCCTAAGAAAGGCTTAAGTTCATTCTTCCTCTCCCTGACGGGTGTAAGGCATCTGACTGCCGCCTTCTCTCTGCTTTAGTGGGTTTAATAAGTTGCACAGGAGCCACCTCCTAGGAGCCCTAGGGGCTTCACCCCCCAATTAAAATATTTGAGGGGGCCGGGTCCTTCCCTTCTAGTTGATGGGCACTGCCAGTCAAATGGGGGGGGCGTGTACTGTGTCATGTGATCAATTATGCTGGAGGCAGATTACCCGGACACCCGCAATATTTTATTCATTGGCACCCCCAATACGTTGCATTATTTTTACAATGGCAATCAGCCTTGCCTACAACAAGCTGCAGGGCGATGTACACACTTCTATTCCCTGCTCTCCCTCTTCTCCCCACAACCACCCTGTGACAGGGGCGTTGCATGGGGGTGATGCTGAAGCTTGGGGATGCTGACACGAAGTCAGCTGCAATTTAAAGCAACAGTAGGAAATGTAAGAGAATGGGCTGCTGGGGGGGGCAGAGAGAGAGAGAGAGAGAGTGAAGCCCTGTGGTGACAATCTGGGTGCTGATGCCGCACCGGAGAGCGAAGCAGCAGCAGCAGCAGCAGCACCCAGGTCCTGGGATCAGAGCCACCGGAGCTGGGAGCGATCCAGGAGCACGTCTTCTCCATCATGGACTGGGCATGGTGAAGCAGGCCGGAGCCGGAAGAGGCAGCCCCCTCCACCCAAAAAAGAACACCTTTGGCAAAAGAATCCGAGCAGGGCTGGCGTGCCCCAAAGAGGAAAGGGGCATAAAGGGGAGGGAAGAGCATGAGCATCGGGATGCCAAGCGCAGCGCGCTGCTTCCACGTTTCCCCAGGGACATTTAATGAAATCCGGGGACATTTTGGGGACAGATCTGCAAATTCAGGGACTGTCCCCGGGGAACGGGGATGTCTGGTAACCCTGATTTGGGTGCCGATCTCCCATATCCTCATCTGACACTCTCACCACCTACACCATCCTGCCTTCTGCATTGGGGTAGCTATAAAAATTTAAGTAGGTAAATAAATACAGAGAAAGCAAAATGTCACAGAGATGGATCTGAATCTTCCCCCTCAAAGTATAAATGTGTTTTATTCTGGATTGCTTTATTTCATGTTTTAATGTGTTGCAAGCAGATTTGAGTTTTTTTACTTTAAGTTATAAAGTGGTATAGAAAAGATTTTTTTTCCTTTTTAAAAAATGCTTTATTGAACTTAAACAAAGAAAACAACATACATTCCTGTCCATTGTTTACAAAGAAAATAAAATTAAGAGAAACCTATATTTTCTGACAAAGAAAATATTCTTAATATACATCTGACTTCCCGTCGTCTCCATACTTCATTTAACCAGTGTAGTGTAGTGGTTAAGAGCGGTAGTCTCGTAATCTGGGGAACCGGGTTCGATTCCCCGCTCCTCCACATGCAGCTGCTGGGTGACCTTGGGCTAGTCACACTTCTCTAAAGTCTCTCAGCCCCACTCACTTCACAGAGTGTTTGTTGTGGGGGAGGAAGAGAAAGGAGAACGTTAGCCGCTTTGAGACTCCTACGGGTAGTGATAAAGCGGGATATCAAATCCAAACTCTTCTTCTTCACCATTACTGACTTATTGCAAAAACATATCCACTTGTTGTATAATAAAATATTATTTCTCCTGTGTCCTTTTTCTTACTTAAAACAGCTACAGATGTTATTCAAAGGCTGTAACCGAGTTCAAGCTGCAACAACTGTTCTTAAGATATCTTTTAAAAACTTCCCATTTTGAAATAAATACTTGCTTTGAATTATCTTTTATTTTTTCGGTTGGTTTGGCTAGCTCTGCATATTAGACCAATTCTTGTAACCATTCTAACCTGGAAGGAACTTTATCACTCTTCCAATTTGTCGCTATTAGGATTCTAGCGGCAACAGTGGTGTATAAAAAGACCTCCCTTACATTTCTAGGAATATTGGCGCCTGTGATAAAAAGGCTTCTGGTTTTTTTGTGAAACAAACATCTAACATTTTTTAAAGTTCTATATAGATGTCATCCCAGAAAACCTTGATATTTTTTTTTTTACAAAGCCACCACATATGGAACATTGTGCCTGTTCCTTCTCCACATCTCCAAAAATTACTAAAAACATTTTTATACCTTTTTGAAACTTTCCTTGGGGTAAAATACCAATAGTATTGCATGTTTTTGGAAATGTTACCTCAAGGTTTAGCATTCTGTGAATTTCAGATTTACTTTCCATAAATTTTCCCACTTTCATATCTGTGTTATATCCAAACTCCTGGGCCCATTGAATCATGACAGCTTTAATCTCCTCCTCCTTCCCAGTCAAGAAAGAAGAGTTTGGACTTGATATCCCGCCTTTCACCCCCCTTAAGGAATCTCAAAGCAGCTAACAATCTTCCTTTCCCTTCCACCCCCACAACAAACACTCTGTGAGGTGAGTGAGGCTGGGAGACTTCAGAGAAGTGTGACTAGCCCAAGGTCACCCAGCAGCTGCATATGGAGGAGCGGAGACGCGAAGCCGGTTCACCAGATTACAAGTCCACCGCTTTTATTAATAGTTGTTTTCACAGACAATATCAGTGTGATACCTTGGTTTACGAACTTAATCTGTTCAGGAAGTCTGTCCTTAAAGCAAGGCAGGCTTTCCCATAGAAAGTAATGGAAAATGGATTAATCCATTCCAGACAATGAAAAACAACCACTAAAACAGCAATTTAACATGATTTTTACTATCTAACAAGACCACTGATGCATAAAAGGAAGGCAATAATCAATGTACTGTACAATAAAATAAAATATATAAGGCAGTATTGTAGATGATAAAACTCAAAATTATTTTTTTCCCTTATGTGTACTGATGATAGTAATTGTTTGTATGGGGGGGGGCTTTTATCCATTTCTGCAGTCACACAATCAACCAGTAGCTGAACTGGGTTCCACACAGTCAGAAAAACGAAGTCACAAAAACGAAGTCACAAGCCACAGTCAAAAGTCAGTACCATAAAACAATGAACAAGACACAGTAAAATAAAAGAAAAAGCCACACAAACAAAAAAATAGCAAAGACAAAAGCTCCAAGTATCACCTCTGTGTTGGGTGGGTGCTCCGGACTCAACAGCCGACAGACTCAACAGGAAGCCTCTGATTAGCAGTGGGGGACTCAATTTACAAACAGAACACACTCAATAGGAAGCAGAACATGTTCTGTTTCCAAGGCAAAGTTCACAAACCCAAACACCTACTTACAGGTTTGTAGCATTCTTATTCCAAGTTGTTCATAAACTAAGTTGCCCATAAACTAAGCTGCTCTTAAACCAAGGTACCTCTGTAGTTGGCACTGGGAATCTGATTAACCCACATATTGTGAAAAACATCCATGGTCCTGATTCAGTCCACAATTGACAGCATTGAACCTCTCGGTGGATTGTGATGCCAGTCTGCCTTTGAGGTTCATTTGTTCCAGAGAAGTAAACAAAATAAAGTGAATGTGTTTCCACACTGCCCCATCCAAAAAGGCTGAACCCTAGCATTCTAGAATTCTATGTAAAAGAATGAACATCGAGTGAATGTTCACTAAGTTTCCCACGTTGACTGAAGCTCTTTCCACACTCCAAGCATTTAAAGTTTCACCCCTGTGTGAGTATGTTTATGTAAAGTAAGGTGTGTCCTCCGACGGAAACTCTGTCCACACTCCATACATTTAAACGGTTTCTCCCCTGTGTGGGTTCGATGATGAATATTAAGGGAGGAACTTTCGCTGAACCTCTTTCCACACTCCATACATTTAAAGGGTTTCTCCCCTGTGTGAGTTCGTTGATGAGAATTAAGCTGATTCTTCCAAATGAAGCTCTTTCCACACTCCATACATTTAAAGGGTTTCTCCCCTGTGTGAGTACGTTTATGTAAAGTAAGCTGTGCACTCTGATGGAAACTCTTTCCACACTCCATACTTTTCTCCCCTGTGTGAGTTCTCTGATGTTTACGAAGTTTATCACGTCGACTGTAGCTCTTTCCACACTCCAAGCATTTAAAGTGTTTCACCCCTGTGTGAGTTTGCTGGTGTGTTCTAAGGGCTCCGCTTTGACTGAAGCTCTTTCCACACTGCATACATTTAAATGGTTTCTCCCCTGTGTGAGTTCTCTGGTGTTCACTAAGTTTATCACGTCGACTGAAGCTCTTGCCACACTCCAAGCATTTAAAGTCTTTCACCCCTGTGTGAGTACGTTTATGTGTGTTAAGGTGTGCACTCTGACGGAAACTCTTTCCACACTCCATACATTTAAATGGTTTAACCCCTGTGTGAGTTTGCTGATGTGAAGTAAGGTGGGTACTCTGACCAAAGCTCTTTCCACACTCCATACATTTAAATGGTTTAACCCCTGTGTGAGTTAGCTGGTGTGAAGTAAGTGAGCTGCTATGACAGAACCTCTTTCCACACTCCATACATGTAAGTGGTTTCTCTCCTGTGTGTGTTCGCTGATGTTCTGCATGTGTTCGACTATCAGTGGAAGTCTTTCCACATTCCAAACATTTAAATAGTTTCTCCCCCGTGTGAGTTCGCCGATGTGAAGTGAGGTGTGTCTTTCGTCCGAACCACTTTCCACACTCTAGACATTCAAATGGTTTCTCCCCTGTGTGAGTCCGTTGATGTACACGAAGTGAACTAATATGACGGAAGCTCTTTCCACACTCCATACATGTGAATGGCTTTTCCCCTGTGTGAATTAGTTGATGTTTTCTAAGTGTTCCCCTGTCACGGAAGCTCTTTTTACACTCCATACATTTAAATTGTTTCTCCCCTGTGTGGGTGTAATGATGTAAAGTAAGGTGGGAACTCTGACCAAAGCTCTTTCCACACTCCATACATTTAAATGGTTTCTCCCCTGTGTGACTTCGATGATGCGTATGAAGGGTCCAACTTTCGCTGAAGCTCTTTCCACACTCCATACATTTAAATGGTTTCTCTCCTGTGTGAGTCCGTTGATGTCTTGTAAGTTTTCCACTTGCACTGAAGCACTTACCACACTCCACACATTCATATTGTTTTTCCCCTGTATGAATTCGCTGATGTTGTTTAAGAGTGGCATTACTACTATAACGCTTTCCACACTCATTACACTGAAATGGTTTTTCCCCCGTGTGAGTTTGTTGATGGTTTGTAAGGTTTCCACCATCAATAAAGCTCATTCCACATTCTGCAGAGTCCTGTCGCTTGTCTGCACCACCTGCTTTGAAGCAAAGGGAGAAATGCTTTTAGTGTTTCAAAGAACATATTTGTATGAAGGGAGATATATAAATTACATACATAATTATAATTGTCTAGAAAAAAATAAAAGTGTTTCAAATAAATAAATAAATAATCTATAATTACTGAAAGCATTTCCACAACACCCTTTACCCATATTTCTGTATTAGTCTAGGTAATCATCATCATTTAATCATGCAGTGTGGGGGAAACATGTAAAATCGAAACGCTGTGAGAGGAAAAAGGTTTCTGGCTCCTCTATGAAAGCAGATTCCACAAACAAAGAGGAGCATGGGAAAAGGCCTCTCTGCTTCCTTCTTCCTGCCTTTTCTCTCCCCTCCATCTTTTCCCCTTGCCAATGTGTTTCCCTCCTCCTGTCTCTTTCCACCCCTGCGCCCATATCTTATCCCCTGCAACTCACCAGATCTCTCTGAGGGCCCTGGGAGGGAATGCTCAACAGTTTTGGGGAGGGATGCAGGAGGCAGCCTGACCAAGTCAACCGTCCATCTTCCTCCTTCCATTCTAGCTAGGTTTGCAGAATCAGACTCTTTCATTCTTCCTGAGGAGCTCAGAAGCGAAAACGAGCTGCAGATTCCTGAGGGAAGAAGGAACAAAGGGAGCCTCACATTTAGCTGTTGAAGGATAAGTCTTTCACTGTTTCCATGGTGAAAGAGGGTGCCTTCCTCCTGAAACCCACCTTGCAAGAAAAATAGGTCCTGCCCCAATGTGGAATAAATGAATAAAAATGAATCCTTAGCTGAATCAAAGGATTCTCCCTAAACTCCTTTCCTTGTTGAGGGTGCAATTAAGACTAAGAAACAGGGTGTTATCTGTGAAAGAATGTGTTAAGGCCCATGCTGAACCTGAGAGTGATAGATTTATAGTTTAGAGGTGACTCGAGATCACAAGGAGAAATAGCAGGTGATAGTTTAAGAACTAGTACGCATGCTCAAACGCTTCATGAATACACACCCCAAAAGGAGAAATTGCTATCTGAATGGACATGGGATGCATGTTATTGATGGGGGTACATATTAGAGGGATAATGTGTAGGTGGATTGGGAAGCCTGTAAACTGCAATTTCTTAACCAACAGGAATTGTAGGAGGGATATTCGAACGCTTTTAGGTTATAAATTATGTGTGATGTAAGCTGGAATGAGCACTCCTTTACAGCGTGAGCTAAGGAGTCGCCCGTGCAGTCCTGTTACGACAATAAATCTAGTGATGCCCAATCTTGGTGTAGACTCCTTTTTTACACAGAGTAAATTGGCGCCCTCTGGGCAAAGATCCCTGGGACATATTTGTCCAACACCTTGCCAGTGTGTTTTCCCCCTCCTGTCTCCATCCATCCCTGCCCTTTCTCCCTGCAACTCACCAGATCTCTCTGAGGGTCCTGGGAGGGAATGCTCAACAGGTTTGGGGAGGGATGCAGGAGGCAGCCTGACCAAGTCAACCGTCCATCTTCCCCCTTCCATCCTCGCTAGCTTTGCAGGATCAGACTCTTTCAAACTTCCTAGGGAGCTCAGAAGCCAAAACAAGCTGCAGGTTCCTGAGAGGGAAGAAGAAACAAAAGGAGCTTCACAGACCCTGCAAGCCTTTTCCTGCCCCAGATATTTAGCTGTTGAAGTGTAAGTCTTTCACTATTTCTGTGGTGAAAGGAAAACCCAGACGCCTAGAATGGCTGGGGGAACCCAGCCAGATGGGTGGGATAAGGTAAAGGTAAAGGTACCCCTGCCCATACGGGCCAGTCTTGACAGACTCTAGGGTTGTGCGCCCATCTCACTCAAGAGGCTGGGGGCCAGCGCTGTCCGGAGACACTTCCGGGTCATGTGGCCAGCGTGACAAAGCTGCATCTGGCGAGCCAGAGCCGCACACGGAACGCCGTTTACCTTCCCGCTAGTAAGCGGTCCCTATTTATCTACTTGCACCCGGAGGTGCTTTCGAACTGCTAGGTTGGCAGGTGCTGGGACCGAACAACGGGAGCGCACCCCGCCGCGGGGATTCGAACCGCCGACCTAACGATCGGCAAGCCCTAGGCGCTGAGGCTTTTACCCACAGCGCCACCCGCGTCCAGATGGGTGGGATATATATATATAATAACATCATCATCATCATCGACTAGAGTCATGCCCTTTGCGTCTCTTTTTATTTCTGTTAGATGGGAGCTTTGACATTTCAGTCTCCCTGGCCACAAGCTCACAGTTATTTCAATACCACCCCAATAATAGCAATTATTATTATTATTATTATTATTATTATTATTATTATTATTTTCCCACCCATCTGGCAGGGCTTCCCCAGCCACTCTGCTGGCTGCCAGGTCCTCCCCCAACCCTCTTCCTCCAGCCTGGCTTCCCTTCCACTGTTGCCCACCCCCCCCCAGACCACGTACCCTAGAAGGGACTATGGCCAGGACACAAAGAAAGACGAAAAATAATGCAGGCATTTTTATAAAATTCCACAGAGGTGCATCTTGTTAGACTGCAATAGATTGTAATGGGTTGCTCTGAAGTCAATTCAGCGCCAGATAATAATAATAATAATAATAATAATAATAATAATAATAATAATAAAGAATCCCGCGAGCCCCCCTCACCGCCCTGCGCATCTTTGGCCAGAACAAAGGCAGCAACCCTATGCAATTCTGCCCCACGTCGACCGAAGGGCGGGCTCGGTGTAAGGCAGAGCCCCACGTTTGGATCCCCCAGAAGATCCGGCTTCCCCATTGGGAGCAGGAAGGGGGCAGGAATCCAGCTTCCAGGGAAGAAAGGCTGCGGGGGGGGGGGATAGGACGCCCCTCGCCTCGTGCAGGGATGTGACTTTGTTATGTAGTGTAGTTTCACCCTGGGCCAACAGGGGGATACTGTATATAGTTTTCACTCAGGTCTGTAGATAGTTTTCACTCAGGTCCGCGGCAGTTATTTTAGGCGGGAACTCTGGGCTGTTGTGGTTACAATGTGACAGCCGGCTGCCTATAAATACAGGCCGGCTGAGCTGTCGCAGTCAGTTGTATTCCAGCTTACCATAATAAAGAGCTACTTGAAGAAATCGCTGTGCCGGCTGCTATGTCAACCCACGACTTAACACTGGCGACGAGGATGGGATTGATGGACATCAGAGCACAGCCAGATGCGGCCAGCCTCTGAACTGAGCTGAATCACTGAGCTGAATCACAGAGCGAAATCACTGAGCGAAATCACTGGGCAGAACCAATTCAGAGCTGACTGTTCTGGCTAGAGCACTGTGTTCCATCCATCGCCCTTCACGCCGGCATCGGAATCATGGCTTCACTTGTGCCTCTACCGCCGTTTGCGCCAGCCTCTGAATCGTGGGACTCCTACCTCGCTCGGTTCGACTGCTACCTCCAAGCCAACGAGCTGACAGCAGTATCAAAGGATCGGAAGCGGGGCCTATTCCTCAGCCTCTGTGGGCCTGAGGTGTTTGAGACGGCCCGAGCGTTGGTTGCGCCTGAAGCAGTCCAGGCAACACCATGGGACACGATCCAAGAGAAGCTCCGCAACCACTACGCACCAAAGCCGTCCAAGATTGCTGCCCGCCATGCGTTCTACCACCGGAACCAGGCAGAGGGGGAGTCAATCAACAACTACACCACCGCCCTGCGACAGGCTGCAATGCACTGTGAGTTCCGAGACTTAGACGATGCCCTGATGGATCGAATCGTCTGCGGGGTCCGGGACATCCATCTGCAACGGCGCCTCCTAGCCAAGCCAGACCTCACGCTACAGAAAGCCATTGAGGAGGCTGTGGCCTCAGAAGCTGCTGAACGCTCCGCCCAGGAGATCCGCAAGTCCAGCAGCCCGCGTCTTGCTAGGGAGCCAGTTCCAGTGCATCATGAAGAGGCCAGCAGTGATGAGGCATCCTCCAGTGAAGACGATGACGTGCACCAGACAAAGCGGGAGCGCAGGAAGTTCCAACAGAAGTCCAAGGGCCAACCGGAATGTGCTGGCTGCGGAGGCAACCATTCCCGTGCCAAGTGTCGATTCAGAGACGCCATCTGTAGGAAGTGTTCCAGAAGGGGCCACATCGCTAAGGTCTGCCGATCGGCTCCGTCTGACACCCCCCCTTCATCGACTCGCAAGTCCAAGTCTTCACTCCAGTCTGCCAAGGAAAGTTGTTTCGCTCTCACCAACTGCCGCTGCCCGTCTGGAACCACGATTGGCCAAACCGACTCGCCTACGCGACGCAAGCTGAACGTCACGGTGCTCATTGAAGGAGCTCCATGTGACATGGAGATTGACACCGGGTCTGCCCTGTCCATCGTGTCATGGAGCACCATCAAAAGACTGGTACCCAGAGTGTCCAAAAGGCAACTCGACTCTCACCGCGTACACCTGAGAGACTACCAGGGAAACGACATTCCCGTGGTAGGCGTTGGCCGGTTCCGGATCGCTTTCAAGGATTTTTCGGGCCTGCTCCGGTTGGTGGTGGTCGAAGGTCAGCGGCCAAGCCTCCTAGGGCTAGACTGGTTTGATGCCCTCGGCCTGGAAGTCACCGGCATCAACTGCATCTCTAACGCAGAGACTGAGGGTCTGGTCAAAGACTTTGCCGAGGTTTTTGACGGCACCTTGGGCCAATATACAGGTACGCCCATCTCCTTTAGCCTTGATCCACAAGTCGCCCCCATCAAGCTAAAGCCACGCCGGGTTCCCTTTGCTCTCAAGGCTAAGGTGGACGAACAACTGGACAAACTGATCGCCCAAGGAGTTTTGGAGCCGGTTGACCACGCAAAGTGGGAAACCCCCATCGTCACGCCTGTCAAGCCAGATGGGTCGGTGAGAATCTGCGCTGACTACAAGTGCACGATCAACAAGGCACTTCAGCAGCACGCTTATCCGGTTCCTGTTGTCCAACACCTGCTGCATTCCCTGGGTGAGGGTAAGGTCTTCGCTAAGCTGGACCTTGCCCAAGCCTATCAACAACTGCCAGTCGATGATGCCACTGCTGAAGCCCAGACGATCGTCACCCACCGGGGGGCTTTCCGTTGCCGCCGGTTGCAGTTCGGGGTGAGTGTGGCTCCTGGCATCTTCCAAAGCCTTATGGAGCGTCTCCTGCAAGGGCTTCCGGGCGTGGTACCATATTTTGATGACGTCTTGGTGTCTGCAGACTCACACCAGCAGCTGTTCGAGCGCCTCCGTGCCGTGCTGACCAGGTTCCAGGAGGCCGGGCTCAAGGTAAAGAGGGAGAAGTGCCAGATCGCCGTTCCACAGGTAGAGTTCCTGGGCTATCTTATCGATGCCTCTGGTCTTCATCCAACCACATCCAAGATCCGCGCTATCCAGCAGGCCCCCACCCCAAAGAACAAAACGGAGTTGCAGGCATTCCTGGGGCTGCTGAACTTTTATAACATGTTCCTGCCCCACAAAGCCACAGTGGCTGAGCCTCTTCACCGACTCCTTAGCACTAAGACGCCTTGGGCCTGGGGTCATCGGGAGACGGCGGCCTTCAACGCGGTCAAGGCTCTCCTTTCTTCAGATAGTGTGCTGGTACAGTACAGTGAATCCAGGCCGCTGGTCCTTGCCTGCGACGCCTCACCTTTTGGCATCGGTGCTGTCCTTAGTCACCGTTTTCCAGATGGAAGAGAAGCACCGCTCGCCTACTTTTCCAGGACACTATCTCCGACGGAACGGAATTACAGCCAGCTCGACAAGGAGGCATTGGCACTTGTGGCTGGAGTGAAGAGGTTCCATGAATACCTCTATGGCAGGACTTTTGACCTCATCACTGACCACAAGCCACTCCTGGGCCTCCTCGCCGGTGATCGTCCAACTCCACCGGTCCTCTCACCACGCATGCTGCGATGGACTGTTTTCCTGGCTGCCTACCACTACCGGCTCATCCATCGCCCGGGGAAATCGATGGGCCATGCCGACGCCCTCAGCCGTTGCCCTCTTCCAGCATTTGTGGAAGACCCGGCTCCAGCTTCATCGCTCCTTCTGATTGAGGATCTTCCGGCAGCGCCTGTATCGGCTGCCACTGTGGCCTCCGCATCTGCCCAGGATCGCACCATCAGCCGGGTGCTCAACTGGGTGTGGAGGGGGTGGCCACAAGGGCCTTTTGCATCGGAGTTCCAGCCCTTCGCAACCAGACAACATGAACTCTCAGCTCATCGCGACTTAACAGACTTCAAGGAGATTCCTGAGCAGGAGCAAGAAGGCTGGGCTTCCTTCCCAGAGATCCTTCCCTCCCCCCCTCAGCCCCCCAACACCCTCGTATTCGGGTCCCCCCCCCACGAAATCTCCCCCCTGGCACGACTCACCCCTCGCCCTGCGCGCCGCATCTCTTCCTCTGCATCAGGAGGGACCACCCAAGACGAGCGGGGAGGGGAGGTGGGGGGGGCAGAGGGAGGGTCTGTTCCCAGGCCTCTCTAGGCAGCCGGGCTCTCTCTATTCCCTTCCCCCTCCCTCTCCTCCCCAAACAGCACCACCTGCGCGCCTCGCCAATTGCATTTTCGGGTCAAGGCAGGGGGAGGGATCCGGATCCCGCAGAGAAGGGCGCTGGATTTGAGACTTGGGTGCAAAACCAGCCTGGCTGGAGGATAGGGCCCCTCGTGGGCATCGCTTTCACAGCAATCTATATATATATATATATATTGCCGTGAAAGTGATGCCCATATATATATGTATATACACACACAGTATATATTGTTGTTGTTCTTTCGTTGTTTAGTCGTGTCCGACTCTTCGTGACCCCCTGGACCAGAGCACGCCAGGCGCTTCTGTCTTCCACTGCCTCCCGCAGTTTGGTCAAACTCATGCTGGTAACCTCGAAAACACTATCCAACCATCTCATCCTCTGTCGCCCCCTTCTCCTTGTGCCCTCCATCTTTCAAGAGTCTCCTCCAGCACCATAATTCAAAAGCATCAATTCTTCGGCGATCAGCCTTCTTTATGGTCCAGCTCTCACTTCCATATATCACTACTGGGAAAACCATAGCTTTAACTATACGAACCTTTGTTGGCAAGGTGATGTCTCTACTTCTCAAGATGCTGTCTAGGCCTGTCATTGCCCTTCTCCCAAGAAGCAGGTGTCTTTTAATTTCGTGGCTGCTGTCACCATCTGCAGTGATCATGGAGCCCAAGAAAGTAAAATCTCTCACTGCCTCCATTTCTTCCCCTTCTATTTGCCAGGAGGTGATGGGCCCAGTGGCCATGATCTTCGTTTTTTTGATGTTGAGCTTCAGACCATATTTTGCGCTCTCTTCTTTCACCCTCATTAAAAGGTTCTTTAATTCCTCCTCACTTTCTGCCATCAAGGTTGTGTCATCTGCATATCTGAGGTTGTTGATATTTCTTCCGGCGATCTTAATTCCGGCTAGGAATTATGTTGGGCGTGTGCATGGCACCAAATGCTCTTGCGGAAAGATGGACTACCCTCAAGATGCCAGCGCTTTGCAAAGGCGTCTCTGGAGGAACTTGGCCAGATCTGTAACCTAAGAGCGCCCCCCCTCCCCTTCCACCCTAGCATCTTCCCTTTCCCCCTCGTTTACCTGCCTGGCTTGGTGTGTCCTTCCTAAGAAAGGCTTAAGTTCATTCTTCCTCTCCCTGACGGGTGTAAGGCATCTGACTGCCGCCTTCTCTCTGCTTTAGTGGGTTTAATATGTTGCACAGGAGCCACCTCCTAGGAGCCCTAGGGGCTTCACCCCCCAATAAAATATTTGAGGGGGCCGGGTCCTTCCCTTCTAGTTGATGGGCACTGCCAGTCAAATGGGGGGGCGTGTACTGTGTCATGTGATGAATTATGCTGGAGGCAGATTACCCGGACACCCGCAATATTTTATTCATTGGCACCCCCAATACGTTGCATTATTTTTACAATGGCAATCAGCCTTGCCTACAACAAGCTGCGGGCGATGTACACACTTCTATTCCCTGCTCTCCCTCTTCTCCCCACAACCACCCTGTGACAGGGGCGTTGCATGGGGGTGATGCTGAAGCTTGGGGATGCTGACACGAAGTCAGCTGCAATTTAAAGCAACAGTAGGAAATGTAAGAGAATGGGCTGCTGGGGGGGGGGCAGAGAGAGAGAGAGAGAGAGAGTGAAGCCCTGTGGTGACAATCTGGGTGCTGATGCCGCACCGGAGAGCGAAGCAGCAGCAGCAGCAGCAGCAGCACCCAGGTCCTGGGATCAGAGCCACCGGAGCTGGGAGCGATCCAGGAGCACGTCTTCTCCATCATGGACTGGGCAGGGTGAAGCAGGCCGGAGCCGGAAGAGGCAGCCCCCTCCACCCAAAAAAGAACACCTTTGGCAAAAGAATCCGAGCAGGGCTGGCGTGCCCCAAAGAGGAAAGGGGCATAAAGGGGAGGGAAGAGCATGAGCATCGGGATGCCAAGCGCAGCGCGCTGCCACCACGTTTCCCCAGGGACATTTAATGAAATCCGGGGACATTTTGGGGACAGATCTGCAAATTCAGGGACTGTCCCCGGGGAACGGGGATGTCTGGTAACCCTGACTTGGGTGCCGATCTCCCATATCCTCATCTGACACTCTCACCACCACACCATCCTGCCTTCTGCATTGGGGTAGCTATAAAAATTTAAGTAGGTAAATAAATACAGAGAAAGCAAAATGTCACAGAGATGGATCTGAATCTTCCCCCTCAAAGTATAAATGTGTTTTATTCTGGATTGCTTTATTTCATGTTTTAATGTGTTGCAAGCAGATTTGAGTTTTTTTACTTTAAGTTATAAAGTGGTATAGAAAAGATTTTTTTCCCTTTTTTAAAAATGCTTTATTGAACTTAAACAAAGAAAACAACATACATTCCTGTCCATTGTTTACAAAGAAAATAAAATTAAGAGAAACCTATATTTTCTGACAAAGAAAATATTCTTAATATACATCTGACTTCCCGTCGTCTCCATACTTCATTTAACCAGTGTAGTGTAGTGGTTAAGAGCGGTAGTCTCGTAATCTGGGGAACCGGGTTCGATTCCCCGCTCCTCCACATGCAGCTGCTGGGTGACCTTGGGCCAGTCACGCTTCTTTGAAGTCTCTCAGCCCCACTCACCTCACAGAGTGTTTGTTGTGGGGGAGGAAGAGAAAGGAGAACGTTAGCCGCTTTGAGACTCCTACGGGTAGTGATAAAGCGGGATATCAAATCCAAACTCTTCTTCTTCACCATTACTGACTTATTGCAAAAACATATCCACTTGTTGTATAATAAAATATTATTTCTCCTGTGTCCTTTTTCTTACTTAAAACAGCTACAGATGTTATTCAAAGGCTGTAACCGAGTTCAAGCTGCAACAACTGTTCTTAAGATATCTTTTAAAAACTTCCCATTTTGAAATAAATACTTGTTTTGAATTATCTTTTATTTTTTCGGTTGGTTTGGCTAGCTCTGCATATTAGACCAATTCTTGTAACCATTCTAACCTGGAAGGAACTTTATCACTCTTCCAATTTGTCGCTATTAGGATTCTAGCGGCAACAGTGGTGTATAAAAAGACCTCTCTTACATTTCTAGGAATATCGGCGCCTGTGATAAAAAGGCTTCTGGTTTTTTTGTGAAACAAGCATTTAACATTTTTTAAAGTTCTATATAGATGTCATCCCAGAAAACCTTGATATTTTTTTTTTACAAAGCCACCACATATGGAACATTGTGCCTGTTCCTTCTCCACATCTCCAAAAATTACTAAAAACATTTTTATACCTTTTTGAAACTTTCCTTGGGGTAAAATACCAATAGTATTGCATGTTTTTGGAAATGTTACCTCAAGGTTTAGCATTCTGTGAATTTCAGATTTACTTTCCATAAATTTTCCCACTTTCATATCTGTGTTATATCCAAACTCCTGGGCCCATTGAATCATGACAGCTTTAATCTCCTCCTCCTTCCCAGTCAAGAAGAAGAGTTTGGACTTGATATCCCGCCTTTCACTCCCCTTAAGGAGTCTCAAAGCGGCTAACAATATTCTTCCTTTCCCTTCCTCCCCCACAACAAACACTCTGTGAGGTGAGTGAGGCTGAGAGACTTCAGAGAAGTGTGACTAGCCCAAGGTCACCCAGCAGCTGCATATGGAGGAGCGGAGACGCGAAGCCGGTTCACCAGATTACAAGTCCACCGCTTTTATTAATAGTTGTTTTCACAGACAATATCAGTGTGATACCTTGGTTTACGAACTTAATCTGTTCAGGAAGTCTGTCCTTAAAGCAAGGCAGGCTTTTCCATAGAAAGTAATGGAAAATGGATTAATCCATTCCAGACAATGAAAAACAACCACTAAAACAGCAATTTAACATGATTTTTACTATCTAAGAAGACCACTGATGCATAAAAGGAAGGCAATAATCAATGTACTGTACAATAAAATATATAAGGCAGTATTGTAGATAAAACTCAAAATTATTATTTTTTTCTTACGTGCACTGATGATAGTAATTGTTTGTATGGGGGGCTTTTATCCATTTCTGCAGTCACACAATCAACCAGTAGTTGAACTGGGTTCCACACAGTCAGAAAAACGAAGTCACAAGAAACAGTCAAAAGTCAGTACCATAAAACAATGAACAAGACACAGTAAAAATAAAAGAAAAAGCCACACAAACAAAAAAATAGCAAAGACAAAAGCTCCAAGTATCACCTCTGTGTTGTGTGGGTGCTCCAGACTCAACAGCTGACAAACTCAACAGGAAGCCTCTGATTAGCAGTGGGGGACTCAATTTACAAACGGAACACACTCAACAGGAAGCAGAACATGTTCTGTTTCCAAGGAAAATTCACAAACCCAAACCCCTACTTACAGGTTTGTAGCATTCTTATTCCAAGTTGTTCATAAACTAAGTTGTCCATAAACTAAGCTGCTCTTAAACGAGGTACGACTGTAGTTGGCACTGGGAATCTGATTAACCCACATATTGTGAAAAACATCCATGGTCCTGATTCAGTCCACAAGTGACAGCACTGAACCTCTTGGTGGATTGTCATGCTAGTCTGCCTTTGAGGTTCATGTGTTCCAGAGAAGTAAACAAAATAATGTGAATGTGTTTCCACACTGCCCCATCCAAAAAGGGTGAACTCTAGAATTCTATGTAAAAGAATGAGCATTGAGTGAATGTTCACTAAGTTTCCCACGTTGACTGAAGCTCTTTTCACACTCCAAGCATTTAAAGTTTCACCCCTGTGTGAGTACGTTTATGTAAAGTAAGGTGTGTCCTCTGACGGAAACTCTTTCCACACTCCATACATTTAAATGGTTTCTCCCCTGTGTGGGTTCGATGATGAATATCAAGGGAGCAACTTTCGCTGAACCTCTTTCCACACTCCATACATTTAAAGGGTTTCTCCCCTGTGTGAGTTCGTTGATGCGAATTAAGCTGATTCTTCCAACTGAAGCTCTTTCCACACTCCATACATTTAAAGGGTTTCTCCCCAGTGTGAGTATGTTTATGTAAAGTAAGCTGTGCACTCTGATGGAAACTCTTTCCACACTCCATACGTTTCCCCCCTGTGTGAGTTCTCTGATGTTTACGAAGTTTATCACGTCGACTGTATCTCTTTCCACACTCCAAGCATTTAAAGTGTTTCACCCCTGTGTGAGTTTGCTGGTGTGTTCTAAGGGCTCCACTGTGACTGAAGCTTTTTCCACATTGCATACATTTAAATGGTTTCTCCCCAGTGTGAGTTCTCTGGTGTTCACTAAGTCTATGTCGTCGACTGAAGCTCTTTCCACACTCCAAGCATTTAAAGTCTTTCACCCCTGTGTGAGTATGTTTATGTATGTAAAGGTGTGCTCTCTGACGGAAACTCTTTCCACATTCCATACATTTAAATGGTTTAACCCCTGTGTGAGTTCGCTGATGTATAGTAAGCTGGACACTCTGACCAAAGCTCTTTCCACACTCCATACATTTAAATGGTTTAACCCCTGTGTGAGTTTGCTGATGTGAAGTAAGTGAGCTGCTATGACAGAACCTCTTTCCACACTCCATACATTTAAGTGGTTTCTCTCCTGTGTGAGTTCGTTGATGTTCTGCATGTGTTCGACTATCAGTGGAAGTCTTTCCACATTCCAAACATTTAAATAGTTTCTCCCCCGTGTGTGTTCGCCAATGTGAAGTGAGGTGTGTCTTTCGTCTGAACCACTTTCCACACTCTAGACATTCAAATGGTTTCTCCCCTGTGTGAGTCCGTTGATGTACACGAAGTGAACTAATTTGACGGAAACTATTTCCACACTCCATACATGTGAATGGCTTTTCCCCTGTGTGAATTTGTTGATGTTTTCTAAGTGTTCCCCTGTCACTGAAGCTCTTTTTACACTCCATACATTTAAATGGTTTCTCCCCTGTGTGGGTGTAATGATGTGAAGTAAGGCCTGCATTTTGTCTGAAGCTCTTTCCACACTCCATACATTTAAATGGTTTCTCCCCTGTGTGACTTCGATGATGCATATGAAGGGTCCAACTTTCGCTGAAGCTCTTTCCACACTCCATACATTTAAATGGTTTCTCTCCTGTGTGAGTCCGTTGATGTCTTTTAAGTTTTCCACTCTCACTGAAGCACTTCCCACACTCCACACATTCATATTGTTTTTCCCCTGTATGAATTCGCTGATGTAGTTTAAGAACGTCATTACGACTATAACTCTTACCACATTCCATACATTTAAATGGTCTTTCCCCCGTGTGAGTTCGTTGGTGATTTGAAAGCTTCACCCTCTGACAGAAGCTCTTTCCACACTCATTACACTGAAATGGTTTTTCCCCTGTGTGAGTTTGTTGATGGTTTGTAAGGTTTCCACCATCAATAAAACTCATTCCACATTCTGCAGAGTTCTGTCGATTGTCTGCACCACCTGCTTCGGAGGAAAAGGGAGAAATGATTTTAGGGTTTCAAGGAACATCTTTGTATGAAGGGCGACATATAAATTACATACATAATTATAATTGTCTAGAAAAAAATAAAAGTGTTTAAAATAAATAAATAAATAAATAAATAAATAAATAAATAATCTATAATTACTGAAAGCATTTCCACAACACCTTTTACCCATATTTCTGTATTAGTCTAGGTAGTCATCATCATTTAATCATGTAGTGCGGGGAAAACATGTAAAACCAAAACGCTGTGTAGTCATCATCATTTAATCATGTAGTGCGGGGAAAACATGTAAAACCAAAACGCTGTGAGAGGAAAATGGTTTCTGGCTCCTCTATGAAAGCAGATTCCAGAAACAAAGAGGAGCATGGGAAAAGGCCTCTCTGCTTCCTTCTTCCTGCCTTTTCTCTCCCCTCCAACTTTTCCCCTTGCCAATGTGTTTCCCGCCTCCTGTCTCTTTCCACCCCTGCGCCCATATCTTATCCCCTGCAACTCACCAGATCTCTCTGAGGGCCCTGGGAGGAAATGCGCAACAGTTTTGGAGTGGGATTCAGGAGGCAGCCTGACCAAGTCAACCGTCCATCTTCCTCCTTCCATTCTCGCTAGGTTTGCATTATCAGACTCTTTCATCCTTCCTGAGGAGCTCCCAAGCGAAAACGAGCTGCAGGTTTCTGAGGGATGAAGAAACAAAGGGAGCCTCACATTTAGCTGTTGAAGGATAAGTCTTTCACTGTTTCCATGGTGAAAGAAGGTGCCTTCCTCCTGAAACCCACCATGCAAGAAAAATAGGTCCTGCTCCAATGTGGAATAAATGAATAAAAATGAATCCTTAGCTGAATCAAAGGATTCTCCCTAAACTCCTTTCCGTGTTAGAGGGTGCAATTAAGACTAAGAAACAGGGTGTTATCTGTGAAAGAATGTGTTAAGGCCCATGCTGAACCTGAGAGTGATAGATTTATAGTTCTGTCGAGATAACAATGTGACTCGAGATAACAAGGAGAAATAGCAGATGATAGTTTAAGAACTAGTACGCATGCTTCATGAACACACACCCCTAAAGGAGAAATGAAAAGAAAACCCAGCTGCCTATATGGTTGGGATAAATAATAATAATAGGGACATTACAATTTATCTAGGAGACCGTTGCAATCAGATGAAAACATTAGAAGGATTTTAACTGCACTTGTAAGGTATTAAAGATTATGGATAACTTGGATGAACAGAAAAATATGGACAATGGACTTTTATGCAGTTGTAGATGGTAATATTAGGACCAACTGAGGGGATGGAGGGAAGCCACAAGATCTTCGTTTATGGATTTGTTTTGGTTTTTTTTTGTAATAAAAAAATTGTTTTAAAAAATCCAGATTTATTTTTTTTAAGAACCTTGCCCAAGAAGGGGAGATTAGCAACTAGCCAGCAGTCCTGCAGTGGAAATAGCACCTAACATTCAAAAGCCTGGGAGAAGGTTTTCCTCTTCACCATCCATCTATTGATCCTTCTGTGTCCCTATCTCCACTCCATAGGAACTTACCAGATGTCTCTGAGTGTCCTGGGAGAAAACACCGAGAGGTTTTGGGGAGGGATGCAGGAGGCAGTCTGATAAGGTCAACTGTCCATCTTCCTCCTTCCATCCTTGCTAGGTTTGCAGGTTCGGCCGCTTTGGTCCTTCCTGAGGAGCTCAGAAGATGCAGGTTCCTGGGAGGGAGGAAGAAGCAAAGGGAGCCTCAGAGGCCCTGCAGGGATTCTCCTGCCCAGAACATTCTGCTGCCCCTAGAAGAGTCCCAAAGGGGATCCCCCTCCCCAACAGGAGCCCCATTTTTAAGGTTTTTTTGGTGATGCCAATTCAATCTGTCAATTCAATCTCCCCATGGGGGCTTCCTTATGAGTAAACCTGCACAGGTCTGCTCTGCATATTCCTCCTCTTCTGTGACACCTAGAAACATGTACCAGGTGAATACTTTGGAGAAGACTGCTCCACTCACTTCCTCCAGCCAGGGCTTTCTTGACTTGGGGGGGGGGGTCATTTCCCCCTCCAGCTCCCATCCATTCATTTCTCCTCCACACACAACCCCCTGGAACTCAGCACACCTCTCTTAGCCTCAGATGGCAATGATGATGATCAGATCCAGCCTCTTTCAAACTATTTCACAGAGCTCAAAGTTTAAACAAGTTGTGGGGGCGGGGGGGAGAAGCCAAGGCAGCCCCAGACCCCTGCAGAGATTTCCCTCCCTAAGAGGCACCCCGGCAACTCCACCTACAGGAAAAGAAGGGTGACTTCCTCCTGAACCCCAGCAGGCTCATGACTGAAAGAGGCTCTCCTTAACTCCATTAAAAAACACTCCTTTCCTTCGGACTTCCTTTTTTCCTGCCATTTTGGAAATCTTGCCTCTGGAGATTTCCCTGCCAGCGCTCAAGATGGAGCCCTTTCTCCCAAAGGACACGTTTCTCTCTTGTAAACAAAATCTGCCCTTTTTCCTATTAGTAGGAGAAAATAACAGAGGCCCAACCAGAGAATATTGAGAAGCAAAGCAGCTACTAAGCCTGATCTTCATTGATCTGTTGCTACAGGGTCCTCACTCACTACGCACAGGACAGGAGGAACCCAGAACAATGGCGTGCAAGGCCTTATATAGACATTTTGAAATTGCCACCCTGTAGCTCAAGACCACCACCCCAGATAAATAATACCTACATCACAGAAAAGGCGGTCTAAAACAGAAATTTGAATATTGCTTTTCTTCTGTAGTTTATCTCCTGTCTGGCAGGTTACTTGATTGGATACCCTGCTTACTTGATTGGATACCCTGGGGAGCCTGGCCAGTCTTTTGTAATGATCAATACTTAGTAATGATAAATACGCAGGTGGCGCTGTGGGTAAAACCTCAGCGCCTAGGACTTGCCGATCGCATGGTCGGCGGTTCGAATCCCCGCGGCGGGGTGAGCTCCCGTCGTTCGGTCCCAGCTCCTGCCCACCTAGCAGTTCGAAAGCACCCTTAAGTGCAAGTAAAATAGGTACCGCTTTATAGCGGGAAGGTAAACGGCATTTCCGTGTGCTGCTCTGGTGCCGGTTTGCCGGAGCAGCGTCGTCACGCTGGCCACGTGACCCGGAAGTGTCTGCGGACAGCACTGGGCCCCGGCCTCTAGAGTGAGATGAGCGCACAACCCTAGAGTCTGTCAAGACTGGCCCGTACGGGCAGGGGCACCTTTACCTTAATGATAAATACTTAGTTCCTGAGTCAGGTCACAAGCTCACCCTGTTCAAACACAAACATACCCTTAAGATAGGATTTGTGAAGGAAAGGACAATGAGGAGGCTTTTCCATTTTCCTTTGACCTTGCAGAGAAAACATTTGGACAGTTTGGGAATAAAAAATGATTCCAGGTTATGAAGATTTAACATATATCTAAGACCTCAAAATTCCTATCGCACTCTCTTTCTACCCTAGGGGTGCAAACTTGAATTAGATATTGTAGGGGGGTGGCAGCAAGCCTTGCTCCATATAATATCACATGATACAATGCACTGACACCCACCCACTCACTCCAGGCCCCTCAAGTGTTTTACTGTGGGGGCCAAACCCCTCCCGGCCCCATGGAGTTGGCTCCTATGCTCCACCCCCCAGAACCATAGAACTCTGGAAATGGAAGGGACCCCGAGGGTCATCTAGTCCAACCCCCAGCAATGCAGGGGTCGCAAGGAAAGCATCGCCCAAGATGGATGCCCACCCTCTTTCCCCACTTGGAGCCCCCTCTTCTCAAGGGGCGCCCACTTCCGAGCCCCCCAAACAACCTACTCAACCCCCCCCGGGGGTCATGGGTGGGTGGGGTGTCCTGGGTCCTCAGAGGCCTTGGGTCCCATGGCTTCCTTTCCCCCACCCACCCAGGGGATCCTCCCATTCATCCCTCAGCCCCCCAGCAGCCCCCTCTGCACCCCGCGTCGCCCCACAGCCTCCCCTTCGCCCAAAGGACTCACCGCCCCAGAGGCCTCCCAAGACAAGCGGAAAGAGGAGGCGAGTCGGAAGGACGGAGAGAGGGGCCTTTCCCAGGCCGCTCTAGGCAACCGGGCTCTCTCGCTCTCCTTAACCCCTACGTAGCCTCGCCTCTCAGAGATTCCTGCCCAGGGAAAAAGCTGGCGAGGCACCGAGAGGGATCCCGATCACGTCGTGAGATCCCCCCAGATTTAGAACATGACTCGGCAAGGCTCGGCTAGGCTTCCAGGCTGGGAAAGGGGCATCCTTAGGGGCGAACTCCTAGGGAGCCAAAAGCCCCTTGGGTTGGGGAATGACATATTGGAGGGGCGATAGGTGGGATGGCTCAGTGGGTGCAGCCTGAGGCTCTTCATCCCAGGGTTGCGGGTTCGAGACTCATGTTGGGCAAAAGAGCGCTGCATTGCAGGGGGTTGGACTAGATGACCCTCGGGTCCCCTTCCAACTCTAGGATTCTAACATCCTCAGGGGCGGCGGCAGGAGGCCAGGACCAGGGTGCAAGACCAATATGGGGCTGGTTGGCTTACAATAAGAGAATCGGGGGAATAGGAGAGTTTCAAGGGGCTCCACAAGGGTCATCCAGCCCAACCCGCTGCGATGCTGGACTCTCCACGGAAGCATCCACGAGAGACGCCCTCCAACTGCCAGCCTGCACCATCCTGGTCCGCCAAGCATGCCATGCACGGCCTCCTTTCAAAGCTCCCTGGGGGGAGCGGGTGGGATGGAGGAAGTCAATGCAACTCTGCGGAAGTAGAGGGAATATTCGCCCCCCGCAATCAATCAATCAATCAAAACAAATAAATAAGACTTAACTAACTGACCTATCGCGATGCAGATAGCTCGGTTCTGCACCCCTGATATAAATCCTGGCTATGCCCAGGCCTCTAGACTGGAGGTGGGCTCTGCAAAAAGGACACAGCGAGGCGAGATGCAGAAGCCGGCTGCGTCCTGAAGAAGGAGCTGCATCCTCTACCCCGGGGTCAAGAGAGAGGCAGTGGGGTGTGGTGGGTGGAAACACCTGTTCTGCCCTCCTTCCCTTTCCGCAGACGCTCAGCCAAAGCCCCCTGCTTCCTTCATTCCTCTATTGCAGGGAGAGGAGGACAGGGGAAAAGCATGGACAGGCGGAGGAGAGGAAAGCTTCCATGAAGCAGAAACCTAGTTCATCAGCTGCACTTCGTGATGGCGAAATGAACTGGAGTCCAGGCAAACTGACGCCCTCCCGAATGAGCCATTACGCACTACTTTTGCCATTTGCTTTATGCATAATAATAATAATACTAAGATATCAAAATGACATGTGATGGGCCGCAGTCTGGTGATGCAGTTCCCCCGAAATTCCGCCAGAGGGCCGGAGCCTCTCTCTGATTGGTTCCCAAGACGGAGGGGGCGGAGCCAGCACTTTTGGAGGGAAAATAGAAGGAGCTGTTTCTGAGGGAAGAAAGTTGGAGAAGGGCTTGACTTGAGAAGTTAGAATCAGATGGGGCTCAGGCTGAGGGGCAGGGCTAGATTTGAGAGGAGAAACAGGGCTGGATTTGAGAAGAGGGAGGGGGATTGTTTGGAGGTGGGTGGAGGATAGGATTTGTCTGAGGGAAAATTGGTTCTGATTTGGGTTGAACACCCACCCTGAGGAGACTGTCCACAGCGAGACGAAAGACCCTCTCAGCTTGGAGAGGGAGACCCAG